GTTGTAACAATGAATTCAGTGTTTTTTTTGTTTTTTGTTTTGTTTTTTAAAGTAGATCATATTCCTTTTTCAACAATAACTAGTCAACAGTTAGAATTGGAAATACTGTTTTATCTAGTTTAATTTTATATACATTATTACATGAATAAAGTGTGCCAAAATGATGTGTGCTGGAAAATCTAGAAATGTCAGTTAGGTGCACCAGCCAACAATCTGCAGCTCTGAATTGAGCAGAGCTAATGTTTGTTCAAATTATTAGATGAATGCGTGGAGGCTCTACGCCCTGCATTAAATCACAATTTTTTTTTTACAAATGGCTATGATCGGTGAAATCTCAGTTGATTACAGATGTCAGGCAAGACTTCAATTAATCGCAGAGAGATGAATTGTTCAGTCTAGTGGCTACAGTAGCCCCCTATATTAGAGCATTTGTATAGACGTCTTTAGCTGAATGCTAACCTCATACATATGCATGACATGGATCAGAGTTAGCAAGGCGCATACGTATATGAGCCCTGATTCGTTCACAGAGGAAGCTGCTGTCGGAGGTTTTAATAGCTGCAGATCACACCTGTGACTTGTTTGATTGTAATTAGTGTCTGTATAAAGTCAATGGGATTCTCGTTCTGGAGACATAATCATATGCTTTCCTGAGGAGCAATTACGGTCAGAAATACTGCACTGTTACCATGACACTTTAGTGAAAGCCCCACAGCACCTTGGTTGCTTTTTTTCTGTTCACCTGTACTTATGAGACACCTTTCAATGATACTTGGCTAATCTTATGTCAATTTACAAATATTTGTGATAAATCCATCAAATATTCCGTGTCAAAAAAATTATATTGTATTCCACTGAGGTGGAGTTTGTCGGCAAGTTCATAAGCTTATGACCCTAACAATGTTCCTCAATGTGCCACATTCACATTTACAAAGATTTTACGAAGATTGTGGCATTCATAAATCTTTCTCTTATCCAGGATTCCTCCTAGGGGCGACAGTGGCTCAGTTGGTAGCGTATTGGTCTGTGGGCCTGAAGGTCGTGGGTTCAAGCCCACCACGAGACCTACTTCACAACTGCCACTGATGACTGATGTCATTGTGTCCTTGGGCAAGACACTTAACCCCACTTTGCCTGAAGCCCCCGCTGAAAGATCAAGGCCCCTGTGGACTCACCACCTGCAGGAGGATCAGTGAGGGGCTGGTGTTATGTGAACTGGGTGCAGCTCAGACTGCCACCCCCCCCCAACCCAGAAATGGATTAAGGGAAGAAAATGGATGGATGGATTTCTCTTAGGTTAGAACAAATCTTACGAATACTCAGGAGCACATTCAGTTTATGTTTGCATGCTGGTGTTGTGTTCAATTCATTTTTAAACTATATGTGCCAACGCTTTATCAATCAAAATCATCTAAAGGCCACAAACAATGGCATATAGTATATTGTTGCTTCAGCAGGTTGAAGGGTCCGCATTGGTCTCTCCCTGGATCTCCTCCCAGGGTCCATAATATTTTGAGATTAATCTCAATATATTTGAGATATAATATTTTTTGTAGTTTTCACTTGCGTGCTTGTTCCCTCCTGATAAACGGAGACCTCAAAACTGCCTCGTTCCTCTTTATCAGTTGCAAAACTATGTTTTAATAATACCATCTAAGTAAAAATACAAAATAAAAAGATGATTAATAAAACACTGTGGCAACAAAACTGATATTCAGCATATTTCAAGTATAAATTGAAGTACATAATGCTACATACTGTTGTGGCAACCTTCTGAAAAACCAAACAAAGCCCAACTTATAAACACACTTTATGTGTTTTTGTTCTTACAGGTTTTAAATGTAGAAGAAGAGTTTTATTTACAAGAGATTTTTGTTGCATCTTTTATTCAAAATTTTCTGTCATTACATCTGTCATGGATGTATTTTCCTAAAATTTTTTAATGCAACAACAACAACACAGCCTTTAATATACCATAGCATTGAAAATAATAACAGTCTGCAGATGCTCTTAGAAAGAAAAGGCTGAGGAAATAGAGCTTGATTCACATCTGTGTAAAGCCTTGAAGCTCGCACTGCCGCTAAAGGGCCCAATTTTATGCTTTACCATCCTCTGTTTTTTCTGTCTTTCTTAAAGCTTCATTTGAATCCCATTTTAAGATGTGTTTGCCTGAGTACTTGTTTTCATAAGAGATTGCAGCCCTTCTATGCTGTGAGCAAACGTAAACTTCCTACGCTTGCAGCACATTTAATTTCTGGCTTCAATTGTTACATATTTTTATGTCGCCATTCCTCATTACAACATCTGTGCTCTTGTGATCGTTCCCAGCCCCCACAATTCCAAGCTATATCTGTAATGTTTACACATTTCCCCCCTTTTTAATAAACGAGGCTCATCTAAAAGGCAGACTCAGCACATTTTGGTCCTCAGAGAGCAAAATAATTTACATTTTATTTAATTAATGTGAGATAGATGTTTTATCAGATTTGGGGTCTGTATGTCGCAGCAGCTGGTTACAAGCTACTATATCATACTACACTTTTATTATACATTGTGAATCTTCATTGTGTGGTTTATTACATCTCAGAATCTTTAAGATTTTCCATTATAACAACAAAGAGACAATTTGAAATTGATGAATGAAGTAATGATACAATAAATCTTCATAATTTAATACTGAGGGATTCCTCATTCTTCCTCATTGATCTTTCCTTCTGCTAGCCTTAATTCAGGATGAGGTCATTAATAAAACATAGTGCATTTGGTCAGAGCGGTATAGTCGACTTCTACAGATGGAGCTCTGTGATGGAGCCTGGACCTGTCATTATGCTGGAGTCAGGAGATGGCTGCTGATGACGAATCATAAAACCTAGACCCTAGCACCATAAGAGACCTTCGAGAGCATCCCAACACCAGGGCTCCATTCATTATGCCCTAACTGGCTGTAATTTATGAGTGTGGACCGACAGGGCAGTAAACCGCTGCTGCGCTGGCACAAGTACAACTGCAGCTTGCTCTGTCTGATCATCACAATCATAGACTTTATGTTGGACCATAAACATTTGAATAGACAGTAGCTTTAACCTAAATAGTGAGAGTCAGGCCTGTTTATAACATACAGTAGTGGTTGTCTTACCGCTGTGCTGGACAGGGTGAAGGTGTGCATCTGTTCTATAAATACTGTGTGTGTTTCTTACTGTGTTTGTTACAGTCTATGTTCTCATGGTCGATAGTACACACTGTGTGAATTTTCACTGTCTACAACCCTATCTTGCTTGACAAATTGCAACTCATCCAGTGTCAGCGGGTTTGACCTTCCGGGGTACAGCTATTCCCATGACAAACTTCCTATCAGACACTTTCCCCAAGCTGGCAGCTCTTGCTTACTTTGAGAAGAAACTTTGATTTATCTGCTGTGATGCACTCTTCTCGTGAATAACGCCGACTGAGGCAACCACTCATCAGCAGGGCGCCTAGACTGGAGCCTCTATTCCCCTTGGATCTAAATGCATATTATACTTCTAAGTGTGGCACATGAGAAACTGGGCCAAACACGCATGGAATGTATGAGCTCTGTGAACACCATGGCATGATTTAGTCTTCGAACCTCTAACTAAAAGTTATTTTTATGACACTACTTTGTGCTTCATGGAGCTTTGAGACAAAAAATTATACTCACGTTTTTGCTTTCTCTGTGGAGGCTTGAATGCACGTTTGGGACTAAAGAAGTAACACACCTCTGTTTATTTAGATTTAGCTGTTGTTTGAATTATGGAAATACCATTTTCATATTCAGAATTTATTTCAAATCCATTGTGGTATAAGTTCATATTTTTTTCCTCTCTCATTGTATTCACCAATGTCTAGATAGAATATGACATAAAACCAGCTTTGTATGGCATAGTAGGTGATTTATTGGAAATACAAGAGAGATGTTATTTTGATAGATCCAAGGTCAGCTGCTGACCTTGCTTAGGGTTATATTTAAGTTTTTTGTGTGCCAGCTGTGATTTAAGAAATATCATGAACAATGTGTCATCTATAACCGAACATTGCAGACCTATAACCAATATCTGCATCATCTGCATTTACAGGAAATGCAGTGATTTCTCTCGTAAATAGTTAGACGCATAGCCACATCAGATCCATAGCCAATGCAAAACTGCTGTGTTGTGTCAGTCTGTCAGGCCCACCCTTTGTTCTCTCATCTCTCTCTCCTTGTTGTTTGCTTGTCTCCGATACAAACCTTTTCCCTTTTCATCGCTGGTCGCCTCCGGGCTGCTGCATGGGTTGTTGTGCTGGAGCCCTGGGGAGAGCGGGGGGCTTAGGGGGCTCAACATCAGCCTGGCCAGGATTGCACCTCTCCAATAGAGGCAGAGGCGAAGGCAGGCGCCAAGATGGAGATCCGCTTTGGTTTGAGCAGGATCTTATGGGATTCAAACCACAAAGAAAGGACAAACCTGGCTGCTGCTACTTTTCCCTCTAATTTCAAAAGGGGGAATTACTGTCAACTTCACTGAACATCTATATCATGGCTATGCTATATTTGATTTAATTATTCACATTGTTTTGTAATCCATTTGACACGCCTCTCACTCTTCATTATTTATCATCTTTTGTACAACAGATTATTGCTTGTGCTTTCCAGCTATTCATTACGCCTTCTTCTTTTATGTCTCAGGATGTTGGGAGGCTGAGGAGAAGAATGCGGGCCGTGCCGAGGCTGCATGCCTAGATAACCCATGGAGAACTGATGCGAGCCACACTGGATGGGGGCCAAGACTTTGGACAGCGAGGGCGAGGAAGCACATTCTATCGCCAATCACTTGAGCGGTTTGTTCCCTCACACAGGAAAGTAGCATTTCTGCAATGTGCCTGCTCTGCTCTTACTCGTACCCTGCTCAACATTGGCAAGAATTTTGAGAAACATTCAGTACTGACAAATATTGCTCAGTGATTTCACTCTGGACGATTTAACTGTTTGAATTAAAGCAAGAACAATGGCTTTACAGTTAGTATTGCTCGCGGGTTTGGTGCTAACAGGATTGGCGTTGAAATACGAAGGGGGTCCTGGACAGTGGACACGCTATGCCCAGTGGGATGCTAAAACAACAGGGGAGCTGAGTTTCATCCTTAAAACGAATATTAGCAAGGCGCTGGTGTTGTATCTGGATGATGGCGGTAATTGCGACTTCCTGGAGCTCCTGATCGTGGACGGAAGGCTTCAGTTACGCTTCACCATTCACTGTGCCGAGCCCGCCTTCATCCACACAGAAACATTTGTCAGTGACCAGCGCTGGCATCGCGTCCTGCTGTCCCGCGACCACAGAGAAACCAGGCTACAAGTGGACAACGAGCTGAAGGCGGCGGAGGTCAAGTCCAAGAGGAAGGAGATGGTGGTGGAAAGTGACCTGTACGTGGGCGGCATCTCTCCTGACGTGCGCCTCTCCGCTCTCACGTCCAGCACGGTCAAATACGAGCCCAGTTTCCAGGGATTCATCGCTAACCTGAAGCTGGGGGAGGCCCTGCCCGTACTGATGGATGGCCAGGGGGTGAACAGTGATCTGGACTATCTCTGTGAAGAACACTCGCCTTGCACTAACATGGGACAATGCTCCGTCAGCCAGGGAGTGGTGCTGTGTGACTGTATCAACACCAGCTTCAGGGGGAGGTACTGCCAAGAAGGTAAGCACGTATGAATCATGTTTGTTCCACTGTCAATTGTCTTTAATAATTACTTCAATGTCAGTATTACTCAATTCTCATCACAGGCATCTTTCAAGGTAGTGTTGGTTTGTTGTTAATCTCAGATGACTTATACAGCTGAAAGTTTTATGCAGGTGAAACTCAGAAAATTAGTTTACGTATCTCTGTAATCCATCTTAAAGTATGCAATCAGTATATTATCTAGACTTATTACATGCAAAGAGACGGATGTCAATTCTTTGTTTGTTAGAATTTTGTTCATTTACTGTCAATTTTCCAATTATTATTGTATTTTTATATTAATATTCTAGTTACTGAGATGATTAGGGTTTTGGGGATAAGGGTGGCATGGTGGTGCAGTGAGCTAGCTCTAGTTAGTGCTTCATAGAAAGTAGGTCCTGGGTTCGATTCCACCTCCAGACGGGGCCATTCTGTGTAGAATTTGCATGTTCAGGTCTATTGTACTTTATGTATTTTAAAGTCAACATGTTGAACTGTTAAAGTTAATGAATACAAATACTAAAGATTTTCAGTAAAGACAAGATTTGACGGGCTAAACAAACGAAAATCATAAAAAGAAGATTATGTTACAGCAATTTTGATTTACTATAACACAACCCATATCATTAAGTAAACGGTTTGGTTTTGAGTGGACTCAGTTCCATCATCTGTGACAACTGAGAACCAATCTGCCCGATCGCAGACACTTCTGTATTTGAACATTTGTTTCTTAATGTAGAAATCTCCTGCAAATGACATCTTTCTGTTGGAGGTTGTACCCAGACATAATGTTCAAATCCTTTGTTATTCATGTCTTGTTTTGGTACACGCACCATTGCCCTGTAATTTGATGTCCAAGTAACATATAACAGCATATGTGTTTCTCTGTATATTAGCTGCCTCTGCACTTCACGATTCACAGGAAAATCAATAAAAGCCATTTAAAGAGATCCAGGTCAGAGCTGGATGTGGCGGTCCTTACAGTCGAGGGCTGAGTGACAGGGGACGTCTCCTTTTACAATTACATCCACAAACACTTACCATGTGTATTATTTTTGTTTTTGTCAGTAATTGTTGGTGCATGTGGGCAGGTTTTAAATTAATAAATTCAATTGAAATTCAAACTTCATTTGGCTTCACAAAACATATTCACAGCAAAATTCAATTCAACAACCACCTCATGCAGGTCTCCATCCCTGTTATTGATTTAAATAATGAAATTAGATCTTCGTAACACTGTACAAAATACTTTTAAAAAAAAAATTGTGTTATGGAAATCATCTACCATTTTTGCACGTTAACATTTTTCCTCAACAAATATTGTTGAAATGATAAATAAAACAATTTAAATTCAGTTGTTTTGGCATTATGAATTCCCAGAGATAACGCAATGCAGTACTCGTATTGGTACTCATTATCGAAAGTACTCAAAATAAGGTTTTGAATAAAGTGTTATCGGTGCATCTCAAGATTATATGAATCCGTAATTGTAGCTTTTGAGTGTAGCGTTAGTTAGATGTTATCTTTATCATACGGCATCTTTGATTTTAGCAATGCACTTGATCAATGCCAAACAACAGTATGTCCAACATATACAAGACTCTGCAGTATAGAGCGTTATGTGCATTTCTTATTACCCAGCAGCACACTCACTAGATGCTTGTGCTATAAATAACTCACACATTGCAGTTTACCTTTTACCACCATCCAAAATGTATACACTGTACATTGGACCAGGTTCTGAAATGAAACAAACCTCTTCATCTGAATGCACTAAATAAAATACCCAGCCCACTGTTATCCCTGCCAAACTGTGATTCTAATTCCTTTCCTGACGTCAGTTACTTTAATATCTTGTCTCACCATGCATGCATGTTTTAACCAGCCCTGTCATGGTACATTCTGAAGCACGCAGATATGGGAATAACATGGCAAACCTGTGTGAATATGTATTAGGCTTAATTTAATGTATCTCTCTTTTTTATCCTCCCCTCCGCAGGTATCCAGAGGGAAGTGGAAGGTAAGACACTGCATCATAATGAGTATACTATAACAGACACGATATGTATTTCCTTCTTTTTTTTTTCAAATAAAGGCTAACACCGCAGCATCCATGTGCGATGCTTTGTGTGTGTTCAGGATCTGACAGATTTTATGATTGTCGGTTTGGACTGCAGTTCTGACATCCAACAAATTAAAAAAAGCTTAAAAATAATAAATCAACTATCACTGGTCGAGGGGTTTTTCTCTGGCTAATCAGAAAGCTCAAGGTGACTGGAGAGGTCTGCAGAGTGAGTGGGTGGTGCGCATTATGGAGAAAACCCATATTGTAAATCACGACACTAACACTTATCAAACGTTTTTTTTTTAAGACTGTATATTTAGGGTATCAAGACCTCTGCAGCCCGTGATTGATGTCAACAGCTGCAATCAGTTCAATTTAAGGGGACATTGAACTACAATAGTCCCAATCAGCATGTATTCTCCAAAGCTGCCCTTGCCTTTGCTTCAAGGTGAAATTGTATTGTGAAATACTTATCCTATTGTCGCTTCTGTATTGTTTATACAAGCACAAATCTGCCTCTTACTTGATTTTTCCTCCTTAATTTTGCGAAAATTAAACGGTGATTTATATGGGATTTTTTGGAATTGTCACTAATTGGCTAGTTCGTTCCTTTTCTGATTTCTGCTGGTAGAGCTGAAAGAAGAGATGCAAAACGATCAAAGCAGCATCGTCTTGTTCATGAAAGATTGCATTTCCAAAGTGCATATTGCTTTCTATGTGGTGGAAAATATCATAATATATCATTAATGCAGTCCGTGACACAACTAAAGCTTTATATTGTGCAGCCCTATAACAAAGTATTCTTTTGTTCTATTTCTCTGTGTTCAAGTGTGTGGAACATTCTCAACAAGGCATAGCCTCTCCATGCTTGGGAAAGTTGCAACATATACCTTTAAATCTGTTGTCCTCTAAGCTGAACCTCAGTGGGGTTTTGACTGAATGCTTCTCTAAGGATTGGATCAGTTGTACCTAATACTGTGGGCGCAGATTGTGCTAAAGTCAGCGTGTAGTGGTGCAGTACTGAGCCTTTCTGTGCAAAAATGACTGTACGGTTTATATGGAGTAACCCAAAAGGGGAAAACCATTAGCTTTCTGACAGAATCAGGTGAACAAACACTGACACCAGCTCTTTGCGTTATCCTTTGAGACTCCGCTCTACAAAAGAAAATCTTTGTTTTGCAGCATACCTGTGGCCTTATTATTGATGAGAAATGGAGAGTTTATGTTGGGGAAGTCATATTTTGGAAATATAGCTGCAGGCATTTTACAGCATGAATAATGATAATGCATATAACTTATCTAGTGCTTTTTAGCAACAGCTGCCCAGGGGCAGCCTGCCTACAGTAGCAAGGCTACTAACACACACCAGACTCACTGAATGATCAATGTCAGCCAAACCGAAAATCTCTTGACAACATATTTCTGCACAAACCCATTCAATTTAAACTACTTAATGCCACTGACATTACAAGACATAAAAACAATCTCTGTAAGTGACTGAGTGGCAGAGTGGCTAGAATTCTGAATCTGGTTCGATTTCACTTACACTCTTTCTGAGTGGAGTTTTAATGTTCTCCCAGTGTCTGTTTAGGATTCCTCCAGGTGCTCCGTTTTCTCCTATCACAAAAAACATGCACACTGGCTCCCCCTCTCTGGGGGAAGGACTCCCCAGAAAAAGAGAATATAACATCTTAGTAGGACTCTAGTTAAAAAGAGGTCTTGGACGTGCCTCAGCTAAAATCACGTCTTACAACACAGATATTGGCAAAAATATGTCCACTATGGCAACAACACATATTCCGCCCAAAATATGATGTACCAGCTACTATCTATTGAATGAGAAGTCAATAGTAATTATTGTGACAAGCCTACTTATTTACACAACTCACATAAGACTTTGGACTGACTGTTTTGGCAAATTGAAATAATAAAAACGCCTGAAATATTGTTTATTCCAAGACTGTCAATGCAATATATCGTATAGCTCATGAATAAAACCAACATTAGCTTTCATTGAATAGGTCAACTGCAAATCAAACCTGTATAACGAATGCTGGAGAACCATGAAACCCCTTAAGCAGCCCCCCTGGGCGCTCCTAAACCATCAGGACAACATTTAGCCCCAGTCTCACGAGAGAAAAGACATACATCTGATTATCTGCAACCTTTAACCAGCTGTAATTGAAATAGACTGGTTTCTAACAAGGTCGGAGAGTGGAAACAAAGATTGAGGGGGGAACATTTGTTTAGCCCTGTCAGAGAAAGACATCCATCTCGGTGTGAAAGGCTGCAGTGCCGTGTGAGAGGGCAGCACACATGATAAATCACTGTGGCCCAACGCACACCTGCTTTTTCAAATTGGGCTGTGACACCTCAGGCAAAAATAGATCCATGTGCAGTGTCTTTAGTATATGGCTGTGTTATTAAATATGGATGCAACCAAAAGGCATGCAAAACTCAGGCAAGGCGAACTTACAAAATGACAAAGAAGGTTTCTGTAGAAAAAAAGCTCTCAGGGTTAGATAGACGTTGGTTGATTCATTCTGTTTTATATATATATGTGTATAATGAAATTAATTAGAGTATATTGGTTTGGTAAATTGTAATGGGGTATAATTCACCGGCATTCATAATCATTTAATTGGATTGAGGATGCTTTGTAGTGAGATGACTTTATGGCTATTATTTGTTCTGTATGGTGGGTTTTGAAAAATCATGTTCAATTGCTCTTTTCTTTTTGGGTTTTTGACTCATTTTAAAAACAGAATGAAAGGGCAACATGGTCCTGGTTGTGCATTGGTGTGTATGCCATTTTAATCTATGGTTTAATAACCCATGTCAAAACCCATGAGGAATTTGACATATATCGTTTATTTGGCAAATCATTTAAGTGACAAATGTGCCTATTTTTTGTGTATGTTCTTTGTGGTAGCCCTAGTATCGAAACTGGAAACTTATTCAAGAATGCAACAGTCCTGACAAAAAAATAAGATCAAGGAGAATTTATCCAAATATGAGAATCCATAAGCAGTTGTTGAAAGCTTTCGATCTCAGACCTCTGATTAAACCTTGTAGCTCCGTTAAAAAGGAAGCTACTATACTATACATGTTTACAATTACGAATCTAGATTATTGCTGTAGTTTCAAAATTGGTAAAGAGTCTATTTCTTAGTGTTGGAATCGTGTTTTGTTAATTTCAGTATAACATGACAACACTAGTACACAATCATATAAGACGGGTTCATCCGAGTACCTCCGGTCCAGAGCCAGGCCTTAATCAGCCTGTAGTTTAACCGGCTCTGGGCCTCGGTGGTGAGAGCCTGGAGTAGCTGCTGTGAGAGAGCATCACAGTGTTTATTGGATTAGAGTTTGACACAGAGACAATCCCCAGTGCAGGATTCTCCACAACAACAATGACAAGAGCACAATCTCCCTCCCCACAGCAGCCCCACTCCACGCCCTTCATACAACTTTATGTGCTGCTTGGTGGCAGCGCCGCGTTGTCCTTGGGTTGATGGAAGTTGTCATTTCTATGCTTTAGTGGCCCCCAGAGATGCAATATCGCCACTTGCCGTATCAGGGACTGGGTTTGCGTTTGGGCTCAGCAGGCGTTTTACTGGTTGGATGGTTGAAAGATGTATGAAAGTGACTTCACACTATTTGACATGCAATATGAAATCCGTTGAGAGATGAAAGCCTCAGTGGGACCGAATCACAAGTTCTACCCGGTTAAGATGTTGGACTAAATTGGGAAATTATGATCCGTTATGCATGTTCTTTGTGACAGCCCTAAGCCTGGATACATATACAATTTGGAAACCAAAACCTATTTCTCTGTATTTCTCTCCAATGACAGCTTAAACTACTTACAATGGCCCTATTACTTTACATTCTTTTACTTGTCATTCCTCTGTTGGGGTTTTGACAATGTTTTGAAGGAGAAAAAGAAAGAAGAATAACTCCATTATTGTTGCAGCCCCATTTTAAATCAGCATCATTGTCCTATTTGTTTGTGTTTGTCAGTGAGAGGTGTGTGCTCCATGGGTGAGACCTCACACTTGTTTGTATATTTATTGAGCTCCAGCTGATGTGTGCGGACAAGGGCCACAGTCTAGTGCCAGAGGAGTGCCGGGCCCTGTGATGTTTTGTAAAAAGCAAAAGCAGGTCTGTGTTGGAGAGATAAGAACGGCCAGAGCTCATGAGGCAGATCTAAGAGAGAGGAAAGCATTCGGACGTATACCAAACTCTACACACTCTACAACTTCTTCGTCAGGTTTAGAATCTTCAACAAAGTTAATATAATCCCATCACTATACTAGCCTGGAGCTTCATTTTTATATATGGTTTTCTTTTCTTTTTTGCCTGAAATGGTCCACATAGCTGGGTTTATAAAAAATTACCATATAGACTATTTTTAACAAATACAAGACAGATAGTACAGGGTTAGCCTGGCCTTAGCCATCCGTACACTCAATTATCATTTCCCTGCATGTAACGTCTGGGTCTGGTCCCTGTGTTAGTGATTACAATCGTTGAATTCCATCCGACCAATCAGAGAGCGCGGGAGGCGGGTGTTGCAGTTAGTAGTGGGTGACGTCAAGAGTTGGTTGTTGGTTGCAAAAATTGTGGCGCTACTCCCCACGGGCTCAGTTAGTGGCAAAAGAGATGGCTAGGCTAAATGCTAACGACTCACTTACATACGTCACGGTAAACTCAGATCCAATCGTTTCAATCTGCAAAAGGAGTTAACCCCTCCCGCCTGTAAACGGAGCTCAATGGAGCACCTCTAGACCTTAGTACGAAATGTAATTTGTACTATGGTGTGGTACGACCAGGTTAGTACAGGGTAGGTGTCTCCAACCCTTTTCACACAGAGAGCTACTTCCCCGGGACAATAACAGCAGATAGCTACTCATTTAAGCGGCCCTGGGAAAAATGTGGTGATATATTTGTGT